TAGTACCCCTACCCTCCACACACAGCACCCCCACAGTACAGAGTCCCCACACACAGCATTCCTCACCCACGCCCCACGCACATACAGCACCTCCCACACACACAGCACCTATAACACACACAGCACCCCTCTCACACACACACACACACACACACACTGCACCTCTCAATGCAGTATGTGTGTGTACTTATGTGTATTTATTCAGTAGACTGTGTGTACTCAGCAGTCTGCCTGTGTGTACTTGGCATTCTGTGTGTGTATTATGCAGTCTGTATTTGTATTCAGCAGTTTGTGTATATTCAGAAGTCTGTGTGTATGTTTGTGTGTGTGTATTCAGCAGACTGTGCATGTATGTTTCTCAACTTAAACATCAGCATTCAGGTTTAATTGCCGTGTTGGCACTTTGAGGGGGAAAAGTTGGCATTTATTGCAGTTTGGGCACTCAGGCTCAAAAAGGTTCGCCATCGCTGCCTTAGGTTGTCTTATTTTTAAAAATATATACATGTGAATGGTTATTCAGGGGTTTCTGATAGATTTCAGTGTTACAATGTAACTTTTGTTAATTTTGGAATAAAATGGTTTGGAAATAGTAAAGTGCTACTGTGGCGGAACCAACCTCGCCACTGTGCACTGGAGAAGCCTGGTTGCTTGCCTGCTCCCTTTAGACTATGGCCCAGCGGTTAAAACCTTTTCTTTTCCCTGCTGAAAGGCTTATTTGTGCCTGTCTGCCGGGGTGTTCGGTAGATTCAATCTACCGAACAAAGTACCGGTTGATGGACCACCTGAGAACTGGAGTGTGCCGTCAATTGACCGCCCAGAAGCTGCAGTTAACCGCAGCTTAATTCATGAATGCTGGGTGGCCTTTGTTCGTTTGCCGAACACGTGGCAGCGGCCATTTTACCTCCCGAACAGCCAGCGGTGTTCAGCGCCAAAACTATGGAACTGAAAATGGACACTTATTTGCGCGAACACCGCTCAGCCGTCAGCCTCCTTACCTCTGCATTCGGTAGTGGAACCGAATGACTGTTCATTCGGTAGTTTCACCGTATGAACAGCATTACCCCAGATAGCCATGCCATGGAGCCTATTCGTGTAACGAAAGACTATAGGAAGGACTTTGGCTCCATGGCGATTGAACTGTATGTATGTGATCTGAGCGCCATTCGGTAATACTGTGCGCTCAGATCTAAGCTATCTGGGGATATGTAGAATGTGTATGTTTTATGTACTGAATTTAACAGTGTGTAATTTCATGTCTTTTACTGTCTTTTTGCTGCCATGTGGTTAATGGAGTTTTGCCTCTGTCCTTGGAGATAATTGGATTACTTGCCAATTATCTCCAGGGCAGAGAGGAGGGATTGTGATGCATTGTGGGATTGTTGAAATGTGTAAGTCTGTGATTGGTCCTTTTACCCTTTGTGTCCCAGTCTCCCATCTGGTCCCCTAGGGGAGTGTCCACCAGGTGGGAGACCTGCATAAAAGCCGGGCAGTTAGCCCCAGTAAATCAGTTCTGCTTGACCCTCAAATGATGTGTCGTCTCGTTCTTGGGGGGAATTGGATTGTATGCTGTTACAATGCGACTGCCAGGAGTGTAAGCTGTTCGTATTGTTTTTCCTGTTCGGCTGTTTAACAGCATTCATGTGTTTCCTGTTCAGGAGCTGGAGGATTCGTATGGTTCCAGTTCGGGAGTTGGAGAATTTGTGTGTTTGCAGTTCGGGAGATTGGTGATTGCAGTAGCTGCCCGTGCATCTGAAAGGGGAATATCGCCTAAATGTTTTTTAACCTCTTGTGTGCAAAACGGTCCGTTACAGTATTAATTATATATGATTAATATAATAATAGTAAGTTATATGTGGATAGTGTGTGTGTGTGTAATTGTGTATATATATATATATATATATATATAGAGAGAGAGAAATCCAAGGTGCTTGCACTCCAGGTGCATGATAACTGTATTGCTCGGTGCAGATCCAGCATAAATTGTAGGTATACAAAAAACGGAATGCACTTCAG